TCGAGCTCACCTAAGATGGAGATGGTCTCCACCAGGACCCTGTCCACGCCTGATCTGTGCCCGACGCCGGGGACGCCCCACTCGCCCACTTCGATGGGCCATGACGCAGGGCACCTGGAGCTCGAGACAGTGACCAAGGAGGGCGAGGTTGTCTTCTCTGCGCCCCAGGAACTCGATCCTGACTATGATGAGTTCAGCCGCTTTGCTTGGGGATTGGGCAACGATGCACCGATCCAGGAGCGGGAGACTTTTGGGTTTGACGACTACGTTGCATTGGACGAATTCACGGCGACCGCTTGAACCGTCTGTACTTTTGATCTACCTTGCTCTGTATTATGATTCTTTTGCTTTTTACTTGGCTACTGCACGAAATTTACGGTGACGGTTGGGGGGATTAAATACCCAGGTCATGGCGTTGAAGTGTACTGTACATTGACTATGAGAAATGACATTCGATCATATTGAAAATATTGTACAGTAGAACATTCTGCACAGAGGAGACTCAGGTCAAGCATACGAAATTTGGAATGAAATTATGAATCAGGAGGAGACATCTAGAAAAACACCGCAAACAGTAAACCCACCGCGTATGCAACCTTAAGATGAGGCCCCGCATTCCGGAAGCATGAATAGAGTTTGACGAGCGATTTATCCAGCTGTAGTACCTAGCACTATGCGACTGGATTATAATAACCCGATGAATAGGAGCAAGAATAAGAATATGAGATACAGTACCTCTCTAGGAAGTAGCAGGCTAGCAGCACTCCCGCACAGACCATCCAGCCTTTGAACCAGGTGACAGTCCAGTACCTATGATCTGATCTGAACCTTCTGTGCTTAAAAGCTTTGAAATCCGCGGAGTAAAGGTCAGGCAGAGTGGACTTTGTCTGTCCCTACTGACTCGTACTTGGAGTGAAAAGTCAGTACTAGGATAGCACTAACTACAATAGGATATAGAGGGTTCAGTGCGGCGGGGCCGAATTCAAAAACGGAAATAGAGTTTGGGCACTGCACCACTGGGCAGGGTGGATCGCCGCTCCTGGGAGTCACCCTCAAAACTACGGAGTGCATACGGAGTAGTGTGTTCAGTTGCACTGCGACTGTACTTAAGGTTAGGTGCATATGATCTACACTTGCATCTGCATATGCAACTATCTAGATTAATGTCCACACGTGGAGATATCAACAGCAGCATCACTCTAGTTGTTACTCAGTATTCACTATCCAAGAGATAGTTCTCACAGTACGGAGTATTTGTAAGTTGCAAATTGAAAGGAACTACAGAGTATGGATATGGTGTGCCGCCCCACTAGAGCTAGAGCTTACGCACGGACCACAATCTGGCACTGTTTTCGGCTACCGCAGACCACAACCACAGAGCACAGAGGAGACTGGGACTTGGAGTAGATGCCTGGCTGGTGCCTTATCTTGTCCTCCCTGAAGTCTCTCACAGTACTAGACGGTCACGGCGCTCAAACTAAGTACCAGGTATAGTCAGAATTAACTCAGTATGAGACTAGGTTACTTTCCAGTAATAAGTCCGCATCGGTTAGTTGTACGGGTTAGCCCTGGGCTGCTCATGCTCTTCTAGTATAGCCTTGCATCGCGGAAAAGTTACGCGTAGTAAGTACTCCATCCGATTCACTGGTAAAGATTTCAAATCAGCGTTGATCTACTCTCGCCCATGTCCACAGCAACTCTAAGGTAGGAGTAACTCAGGCCCAGTCCATAGCTAGTCAGACCGGTCCAGAGTTTCAGCCTAGGTGTTGCAGGCATCAACCCGACCTTTCAAGTTGCCCAGTAACAGTACTGCGTACCCCTACGGCTAACTTTTCATCTCTGACCAATTCCTCAATAGGGAAATATCGTCCCTTGCACTTGTTCGCTAGGACGAAAGGTGAACCAGGGTGATCCGATCCTGTCCCACCAATGGAGTGAATCCACACCACCACTACCCGGCCATCGTCGGCGTTGACTTGCCAGTTACTGTTGCCACCCTAGGTACGGGTACACTAGGTACACTACCAACTGGCAGTGGCTCAGTTGGGCAAGAGCACGGAGTTGCTCCGACTCTAAGCCAGTCCATCAGTCCATCCTTATCATATCATATTACCCTGGGCGTTTGGGGTTGGCTTACATGCGGCTAGAGCCGCCAGACTACCTTACGCCTCAGCTATCGACATGACCAGACTGCGTAGACTGCCAGCGTGAGCGTGCCCCCAGCAAGAACAATGGTTGGATGGGGCCATCGCACAGACGCAGGGCCGGGCTGGTCACTTCCGGGGTGGAGGGGCGGTTGAGCAGATCCCCCAATCCAATGGGGGAGGAGTCCGCGCGCCACCGGATGGCGACATTGTGGTAACTGGTGGCCCAACCTACCTAGTACTTAGAGTTTAACTGCCAGTGTTCCCCGTACCGGCAGAGTTAAAGTTTGAAAAGCAACTGATTAGTGTCCAATAAGTTCAACCCCGTTGGACATTGTGTTTGGCTGCTCAAGTCTGGTGCTAAATCATCTCTGATTCGTGTAACCAATGCTATCATAGCTATCGTAATTCCCTGCTTTCGCCTGTCTAAACAATATCCCTGACTAGCTGATAAGGACAGTGGGAATGACCAAGGAAATGGGGCCACGTCAAATACTAAGGGACAACAGCTAATCCCGCCGACTGAATAGCTCGCGTCCGATATCCCCGCTTTTGCGCACACTAACGCTCGAGCTGCTGCTCCGTCGTCGGCGGCTGCGGCTCTCTGCAGGATCAGCAGGGCTCAATCCGCTGGCCCGCGCATGCAGGTTCAGAATATCCGTCAAGCTCACCACCCCCACGAGGCGACCGGACAGTCGGGCTCCCGGTAATGCAGATGCGGGAATCGACGGTGCCACCCCGTGAGGCATTCCCACCGACGCAGCGGGATGCGTGAGTGATGCCGCATTCATGAATGGCTGAGGCGGACTAGGAAGATGAGGGGTGCTGTAGTTGGGGGCCGGTAAGTTGGTCGTGGTTGCGGGAGGTGACACCGGCGGTGACTGCGTCGAGTTGGTGCTGGCCGCCAAAGGAAGCTGAACGCTCGAGTGAGACGGTGTAGGTGGTCCCGACGACGAGGGCGACAAGGGATCGGTGACCCATAATCTACATTATCCTCGTTAATTGCAGCCCTTACAACTTCAGCTAGCAATATAGCGCTCACCGATGAGATTTGGTGGCCACCATTTTGGCTACCGTGTGCGCCAGAGTCGAGCTAGGGTTCACATAGAACACAGGAAACGAGTCCTTGCCCTCTATGAGGCCTCTTGCGGATAGAATCACGGAGATGAAATGGATGCACGTGTTGTGGAGAAGAGGCAGCGATGACGATCTCGTGAGGAGCTATTCAACCTTTCTTTTAGCAACCTTAGGATCTGACTGGGAAAATCAATGGCATACCTTGACATCCGTCGTAGAGATGTTGCCCACCACGTTGGAATGGTTATCTACCACAGCAATGGACGAGATTCCTTCGCTGTTCATGATTTGCAGCGCTTCACAAAGCTGCTTGTCACCACTGAATCTTTGTCAGTATGCTCTCAGATATAAAGCAGATGAAGCAGGAACACTCACTTGATGGAAATCACCTCACGAGACCCGATGCCCAAATCACGCAGGTACTGAGGGTACAACTGATCGATGACGGGAAAGCTACGACCATTCTCCCATAGAAACTTGACCAGTCGGAATTGACTGACGATTCCCACCACTTCGCCGTTGTTGTGTTCATCCACCACGACCACGCGGTGAACACCGCCGCCGAACGTCTCGACAGCCGTCATCAAGTTGGCCGATGCAGGGAGCGTGGTCAATGGCTCACTCCGGCTCAGCTCCTTTACGTCTTTCAATGGTATTTTGTGCTCGTCCCTGGCCTTTCTTGCCAGTTCTTCATACGATTCGCGAAGTTCTTCATTAGGCTGCGTCAGTCCGGCCGCAAGTAGAAGGTATGCATTCAGATCCGAGTAATCGAAAGTGCCCACGGCCGTTTTGTGTTCCGGGGTCTCTCGAATCAACAACACCGGGGCGTCAGAGTCGATCAGAGTCTGTAGGTATTCAAACATTAGCGAACCATATATCAAGTCTTAAATGCAAAGCAAGCATACATTCGTTGCTTCCTCAATTCCAGTATCCAACTCGACAAATCTCAAATCATCCGGCCTGACAAGCTCCCCAATCGAGATTTCTCTCCAATCTCGGCCTGCAAATGCGGGATTGACATCCTTAGGAGCAGGAGGGTTATCGATCAGACTCTGAATCGCTGCCTGTGTGAAGGACGGCTGTCGGCGTGTGCGCGGAGAACCAGGTGCAGCGCGGAGACTCTCGCTGAAGCTCTGGCGATGCTGATGATTCGAGTGATTGAGTCGAAGGGACTGGCTGCGCGTTGATGGAGAGCGTGAATCGGTACTAGATCGTGGCGATGCAATAGCTGACCCATTGGGATGGTCTGCCACCGCTTCAAGATTCTGAAGGTCCGCCATGGCTGAGCGCGGGGAAGGGGACTAATCCGCGGGGGGAGCTGACCCTCCCGGAAGGATACAAGCGGATATGACAAGTTCGGTCGCGGAGAAAGGATGAAAGATAGCTGTCTCACTTATTATTACCTAAAAAAGACGCTCAGGATGCACCTCTGTTTGTCTTTTAGCCAACTGAAATGGGCTTCCCCAGCGAGATCGCTATGGACAAGCACCTCAACTCCCTTGAGGCGGTGCCAATCACGGGGCGGTGCGGGGAACAGCGGTGTTTGGCTCGGCATCGGCAACGGGCCAATCAGCTGCGGGTATTGGTGTCATGGCGGCGTCATTACCATACCTGAAATTTACCTTATCAACGATACCGATCATGCAACTTATTGTTTCACGCCTGAGGCAATCATGGCCTGACTCCTGATTCATAGTCAAAAACCAGGAAGTAAGATGTGAGAACTGTTGTCGAACATTTCTATCTGTTGCCGTTTCAGGCTCTTGCATTCATGTGAAGTTAAAGAAAGTCACCTAAGACGTCTCGGAGATCTCTCGGATTTCGCTCTCTCATCACTGGCTTTCTGGATCCAGATCTCGGCCGTGACGTCTCTTCTGGCGATTGACCTGTCATCTTCAGCTTCTTTTGTGGTGGTTCTGGAGGTCTAGGCCCAGAGGCTTTTCTGCGTTGGAAGTATATCGTAGATGAACTGCAGCCTCTTTTGCCCAAGCCTTGACTGCCTTCTGGGACGATGCGAAAGTCCAAAACAGGGCTGCCTCGGTCTAGAATGCCGTCTTCTATCGCGTGTCCATCACTGCTGTCATGAAAGCTTGTCTGATAGCATTCATAGAGTGTTAGAGGCTCTGATCCTTCCAGTTGATCGGATTTTTTGACCACAAACTGTGGTATTGTTGTCACCTCCCACCGATCTTTGTCCAGGCTTTCGCCTTGAAGGAAGGATTTGAGATTAGGGCATCCATGGGCGATTATAAGACGCAATCCTGGAAGACCACTGAGGTACCGCATCCCCACCGGTGTAAGGTCTGGTTGGCAGTACAATCTGAGGATGCGAAGGTGGGTAAATGCTCCTGACGTCTCCACCAGCTCACTCCACGTTCGTGCGATTCGATCGTTCAGCCCAGCGATATGTGGTTCCGAGCTGTCTAGCATCGGCATTACCTGCAGTGGCGTAGCGATCTCCAGCGCAACGAGATTCTTAATATCAGCAATCTCCACGAGCTCTGGTACCCGCCCAAACGAGGGTGACAGAGTCAAGACCAAGCGCCAGCTAAGAGTATCGCTCTTGACTACGCTCCAGTATTCTCGCAATGGCATCTGGGGCCACTTGACTTTCATGGATCGGTATTTCGCAACACCCCGAAATTCGGCGGGGTACACTGTTGCAAACAATTTCCATATGTACAAGGTCCTTCTCTGGCTGAAGACCGTTGCGTTGGACTCAGCATTGATTACGGCATGGCATATCAGGGGGGACAGCACTAGATCTTCACTCACCGTTTACCTAAGTGATCCCACAGTCTGCTTGCCATACGCCATGGAATATGGCTAAACAATTCGGGCGTCAGATTCCTCTGATCAGAGAGAAGCTGCTCCATTGCACACTCCTTCAAAGCGGGTGCGCCCTTCTGGTGTCTTGCATCGTGCTCCGCGGTGCAGAATGGGCTTTCATGAACCCAAGATGGGCCCATAGAGTATGATAAACCAGGAGCCATAGCCTGTTCTTCGTAGACCTGGCCGCTTTTCCGCTCCAGTTTTCGGACTGACATGGTAAAGTCACCAGTATGGTGGGAGAGAAGGCTGTTGACCATGTCAAACTGAGCTTCAAAACAGTCGTATAGCTGGACAATATGATTTGTTTCGAGTCACTGCGATGGACTGCCCTGCCGCTGATGTTCAACGGCCCCTACTCGAGGATCCAGCCTGTAAGCCATTGAAGTCAAGCGTCGGGCATCGTTATTGACTACTTATCCTGAGCGGTCTTTCGATATCATTACTAGCAGCAGCTCAGACTCTTCATTGGATTTGTCAGAGGTATTATGGTGAAGAACTCCGCCTATATCTCCAGACGCGAACATCAGCCCTGTGATTCACGTGATCTAGCATCACTGTCCCTCTATTCCAATGATAAAAGATAGTCAGCTGTAAATGTATGCAGATATTTCCAATTTGATTATCTTTATATATGGACATTAAGCGAGAATGATGGACTAGAAAAGAAGTAATGGAAATCCTTGATCTGATCCCAGCCCAAATCAAGTTATGTACAAAGATTGGCTATGATGGCTATCAGCCCTGGAGTATCCGATGAGGTCGCCAATCCACCTCGACTTGGCCCCGACCATAGAGACAGCTGAAAGCACAATATGGCCATGGTTGTTCATGCACCTTTTGCTCAGGATCCGCGCATACACGCGTTGAGACTTGAGAGTCGTCTGTTCCTCACTGCCGCAACCAGTCCCCTCGAGTCAATGAAAAAGGTAGATCGCCTCAGATGTCCGGTAAGGCAACAGGTTCTTCAGACACTCGGCACGGACAGGTAAGTGGTATTGGGTAGTCGCCGATGAGACCTGGTGGACGGCAGAGTCTCTCTCCAGCAGTGACCGTGGACTGAATGACAACGCAGACAAGTAGCTAGTCGATGAGTTTCCCACGAGTGAGTGAAGGAATGATCGGATGTTCGGTATATGAAAGGATTGATTGAGGCATAGCTTGGGAGCTCGCGCGTGTGATCATATTTTGATGTGTATTTCTTTGAAACACAGCGCGGATGAGAAGTCCTGGTATAAGGCATCTCTTTAACGGTGAGCTGCATGGTGTGATGGTTCGAAAGGCAAGTCACAGTATGGATCTCGAAACTGTTCAGCTAGGATATCAGCATCGAGCAAGCGGCTATTTATAAGGCTAGAATCCCCATATTGAAGACAATCGGATAGGACTCGAGCGCTTTGGTCAATATAAGGGATACCAATGTCATCATCAAATGGCACTTAGGCCTCCTGTCTCTGTTTGAAAAGAAACATATGCAAGGGCAACTATCCTCGTGGGGATTTCGTCTTGTTTCGAATCATCAGTGAAGCTGAGTCTTGGATTCCCTAGAACCGGAAGCAAAGTAAAGATCTGACCGTCGGTCAAACTGAGAGAAGCAAGGGCACATTCGAACCCAGTAGAGCCGAGGCCATATGAGAGACGGGAAATGTCAAATGAATAGTGATAATTTGCTCGGAAGGGGCAAATTCAAGGGTTGATGCTGGACAGTAGTTCCGCCCTTGTCTCCTTTGCAGCCGATTATTGTTGTTGATCTTTCTTCTTCTTACCACCACCACATCGCAGGACATAATCAAATAACCTTGACCTGGCCAAGGTTTCAGAATTTCTTACTTATATTGAGAGTAGGTCTGTTGTCTCAAATCAGGCGTCCTCAATGCAATGAAAGAGAGACACACTGACTCATCTCGATAAAAGCTCTCAGGCCAGCGAGGACTCTTTAGTTGCCCCCGTGTGCCATAATCAACTTGGAATCTGCGTCACTTACCCAGTTATTCTCATTCCCAAGACTTTTCCTTTTTTTTCCGTTTCCTTAGCAGCCACAAGCGCCTAATGAAGGAATACTGTGGCCCGTATTTGGTCACATAAATCGTTATTGACGACGAGCATGACCGGGCATTCGCGCCTTCGCGTTACGTCTTTCTATCCCCTCTAGCCTTCTGGTGCATTTTACTAAAAGCTCTGATTCGGTGATGATCCGATGATTGAGTCAATCTTCGAGGTCAGGCGTGGAGAAGAGACGGCTGATACTGGTTGGTCACAAGCATCACCAGGCTGACATCGTGTGCCCTGACGCCAAGAGCTCTTCAAGAACGTCGATCAAAATCGAAGGTTACCACAAATGGATAGTCAACCATCTCGTCTTGCTCCTCTGACTAGTCAAACGATGGGAACTCTTGTGATCATTGCCATGTGTACCTCCAAAAAAGTCATTGCCAGTGGCTTGATGTTCAATACGATGGGGTGTGTTCAAAGATCAGGAGGACTAAGTTTCCAAGTGATAGTTATATAACCCAAAAGCGCCAGCTGAGTTCAGAGAGAGCCTTATGACTGTTTGCGTTCCTTCCTAGGCCGTGTGGTTATCGTGAGCTATTCATCCTCTATATAAATCCATCTCTTGTGGATTGCTTTTCTTTTGTGTCAAAATTTTGCCTCGAGGTCTTGGCTGTCCTTGTCGAAAGTTGAGTCAAGCAAAGCGCCGCAACGATGAGTTCTGATTCAGCAGGGGTGAGATCCCTGATGATCGAAAGTCAAAAACACAAACCTCACTCTAAGACAAAGAGGAAATTCAGGATGCTGAAATTTATCAGCTCTATCCTTTGGAAGCAGGCTTCATTACAGATAGCAAATGCTCGCCAGCATACAGTGTGGCTGTTTGATAATACTGCCTATCAGCGTGTCACTCCCAAAGCCCTTGCGCAAGGACGTCCGGCATGGCGTGCTGAGGTTGTCGCCTGCGTGTTTGAAAAGGACAGTCGGAGAGATATCAGCAAGTTTGTCGCAACGATAGCGGATCTTCTTGGTCTCGATGGAGAGATAGGTACTGAGCCAGAGACCCGTCACCAAATAGCCCGTCGACTACGGCCATTCTTGTACCAGACAGCACCTGCGCATACGGTGGTCATCGAGATCCCGTTGTCAGACGCCTCCATACAGCTCCGTCAAATTGGTCCCACGGACAGCAACGGTATTTGCAGCCAGACTGTGAATATGGGTTCGCGCCATCTTGCAGACGGTACCAGGGTACGGTCGTACCTTCGGGGTTGGGAGGGCGAGGTGTCCATGGCCACGCTCTTCGCCGGTCCAGAAGGTTGGCTTCTGATATCCGACATAGACGACACTATCAAATATACAATGACTTCAGAACCTACTGGCATCTTACGGACTACTTTTGTCGAGCCTGCGCGTCCCATTCAAGGAATACCTCAATTCTACTTCCATATACAAAGACAACTAGTACCAACCTGGTTCTATCTATCAGCGTCACCATACAATCTGTATCCTTTTCTCCACGAGTTCATCTACACCTGGTTCACTCCAGGCACGCTCATGCTTCGGGAGTCTTCCTGGATGGATGTCGGTTCGTTGATTCGATCCTTTACTACATACACCATGGAGTATAAAGTGAACAACATGGAGAAGTTGTATCGATCTTTTCCCCAGAGACGAGTGCTCTGCATTGGTGACTCTACGCAGACGGATCCGGAGGCCTATGCAGAGATCTACAGGCGGCACCCGACCTGGGTGAAGGCGATTCTGATCCGTAAGGTCACAGATGTCCCACACTTGGAAGTGAAGAATTCTCCAGAGCGATTCAAGACTGCTTTCAGAGGTGTCCCGGAAAGTGTATGGACAGTATTCGAAGAGCCTGAAGAAGTATATCATGTCGTGGACCGACTTTCTCAGTCGATACTATAGGTTGGTCGCGGTAGAGAAGGAACAGCTGCGCGATTGGTGCACCAGAACCCATCCACAATATAGTGAGAATCCATGGATGATACTTAGGCTCTTGCACATATGGCAGAAAGTTATCCGATAACTGCTGGTAGGGTTGCTGATATAAGCACAGTTACGTCAACATGAGGGCATCCGCATCATCGAAGTCTATACAGTCCGATGCAGTCCTCGCTCCGCAGCGCTGCCAGCAGATTATTGTTTCTGGTTACCAGAAAGTCAAAGTTTCTGCTGTAAACTGTCGTCTTTGCCAGAGAGTTTGTTTGCCGAAGTGGAATTAGAATTTACCAGAGCTGCCTGTGTTGCCAGCCCCTGCGAAGCCCAACGACACCTACAACTTCCTCGCGCGCTCATTGACAAAGAGGAAGCTTTTTCTATACTGTCAAGAGATACAATAAATGAATAGTTATTTGAACTCAACGGAAGCCTTGCCTACTGAATACTTTTCACCATGAAGCCAGCAAAGCCAGCGCAAACTAATATGGATGAACAAACATTCGTCCCGAGTACGATGAGGGCCCTTTACTACAGCCTTAGCGACAACCACAGCCACGATGTGAAGGCTGTGGATTGCCCGGAGCCAGGCCTGATCTTTGATACCGACTTCCCCACACCCATACCGTCACCGACCCAATATCTCATCAAAGTCCAGACGGCCGCCTTCTCGCATGACGAGCTGCGACTGGCGAAGGTGCTCAACCCGAGGATATCCATGCCAAAAATTCCCCTCCACAACTTCTGCGGCACCGTCATCAGCACCCCCGACGAAGATCACTGGCACCAATCCGGCCCCAAGTTCAAAGTCGAGGACGCCGTCTTCGGTCTGATCAGTCACAGCCGAGACGGCGCCGCAGCCGATTACGTCCTCGCAACGGAAACCGAGCTCGCATTCAAGCCCAGGAACATCAGCGCCGCCGAGGCAGCGACGATCCCCTTACCCGCCCTCACCGCATGGCAAGCCCTCTTCACCTACGGCAAACTGAACCCCGCCGACACGGACCATGTCCGCGGTGGCCTGCGCGTGCTCGTCACGAACGCGCGCAACAGCGAAGTCGGCATCCAGGCGCTTCAGCTGCTGCGGGCCCCGTCCCTGTTCCCGCACTATCGCCCCTGGATCTGCGCAACCTGCGACAACGAAGAACAGGGGACAACCCTCCGCGACCAATTCCAGGTCGACGAGTACATTGTCGCCGCCCTCCCGTTGCCGGCCGACTGGGACCTGGCCACAACGCTCAAGCAGAAGCAGTGGGAGCCCGTGGATATCGTCATCGACTGCGCGGGCGAAGACATGTTCCAGCAAGCCCACTCGCCAGCAGTTGTCAAGGAAGATGGCGCCGTCCTAACCGCCGTCGACCCCACGCCGGCTCAGAACGGGCGGACCGAGGAAGATACCCAGACCGGCAACGGCTCGAAGAAGAAAGGCCCCTTGAGCCGGTTTATCTCTGTCGAGCCGGATGGGAAGACGCTCGCGCACATCGCGGCGTTAGTCGAGGAGAATAGCGTCCGCGGACGGGTGGAGAGCATCACGGATCTGGTCAACGGCGCAGATATACTAGCTGCGGGCGCTGCTGGCGCCGGCGGAGGGAGGCGAGGCGGCATGATGGTGATCCGGGTTAACCCATAGACGGTGTATAGTCATTGCATATTCCGGCCATGGGTTTTTCGTTTCTGTCATAGCAATCAGTATGCTGTCCTTTGATTGGGTCAGTATACGAGGTAAGGACACAATTTGCATTGGAGCGCACGAGCACGTCGTTTAAGTCTTGGGCCTTATATTCAGGTACTAATAATGGAACTTGCGTCAATCTAAGACACCTAGTTGGACAAGAAGGGTACTCCGTACCCGAGGATAATCGGGAGACTTGAATCGAAATGGTAGTTTTAAGATAAAACACACATTCTGAAGTAAAAGTAGGTAAAGTAGGTTCTCATCAACTGCCTGAGAAGGTTCACAAGGCGAAGCACGCAAAAGCCGAGAGATAATGGAGACGCTCATTCCAAGCTGCTCTCATCTGTGGAGTCTAAGTGCTGGAGCGCATTATGCGCATTGATGCTTCAGCGATCGAACTGTCGAGACAGGCCCACTGCTATCCATAGCCTGCGCATGGCCCATAGATTTTAATTATTGTGTATGATGATGCTCTGTCCTGCCGCCTCAAGACAGCCCTGTCCGCCTCGTTCCCCAGGGAGACATGAACAGAAAAAGATGAAAGCAGGTACAAGAAGCTTCGAAGAGATGAAAAGTTTTGTCTCAACCCGCATGTTTAAAAAGAAGAAAAATACATGAGATCGATCCACAAGTCTCTCTGCGTGCTATGTTCTGTGAGACACCGGTGGAAGATGTTGAATGGGAAAGACAGAAGCGAAGACTGAAAAAAAAAAATTAGATTGATAGCGGTTGAAAACCTGCATACCGGTATAACAAAAATAGCGGGACAGTTATTGCTACAGTAAGGAATCAAGTCTGGTAAAAACGCTCAAACATGCCGCGACAATCTGTGGAGGTTCGCACATCAGTTTCTGTAACACCGTAAATAGAGAGCGACGAAACATACCTCCAACTGAAGTTCTCGATCCTTAGCTTTATTGACCTCTTCGTTGATGGCCTGTGCCAGGTTGGCACCAATGGCCTGTCCACCACCCGGCCTCCGAGCGAACGGCCACTGGGAATATTCTGCCAGCAACTCATCAACTTGCGCAAAAGCCCGCTCTCTCGCCTCGTGGCTCATTGTAACAAGTGCATTCTCCAACACGTTGGCCGCATAGGCCGCGCATATCATGATAACAGTTCGAAGATACCGGAACTCAGCATCCTCAGGGAGCCATTGGTTGGCCGGCAGGATCACGGTGCGACTGCTACAAACGTTGCGGACACGGCGATGAAGATCATCTTTGGCGCCTCCGTCGGCGACTGGGTGTGTGGCCATGTCAAAGAGGAGGAAATTACGCTTTTCGGTACGAAGAATGCCTTTGTCGACGAGACCCTTGGCAAGTCGTTCGCGGACCTGCTTGAGTTGATACCCAATCTTCATCAGGTTCCACGTTTCACCTAGACAGAAGCATTAGTCTTCTCTTTCATAAACCTGTCAGAACTCAGTGGCCAGAGTCTTTGCACGCACCGCTCATCAGGTCAATCCACGAGTTCACGCTCATCTTTTCACTCGACTTCATCATCTTCAATGCCTCGTCCAGCAAGACCTCACCAGTCAATGTATCATCGATGACTTCGATTACGCGATCTGCGAGAGGGAACCGTCGCCGGGAGGAGTCCTTTTGCATGCTGATGCGACCGCGGAGAGCCAACTCGATGACAATGCAACCCCGAAGAGCATAGGAAATGTTTTCGTTCCAGAATGAAAGGTATCCCTAACACAGCGGAGAATCGCAAGCTCCATGTCAGCATTGCCTCGTCAATGCGCACAAGCGGCTCATCGAGCTCGCGGCAATGTTTTCACTCCAGCACTGACCTGTTTATCCTTCAACCCCAGCAGCAGCACTTCCTCCATCAGGGTCAATTTGGGCTGTTTGCTTCGCTCTTCGGTCTCACTCAGGTCCCGGGGATCGAAAGCGATCTTGTGGCCATTCTCAGAGCTTGTGAATGAGGCCTCGGGCCCGCGGTGGTCAAGTGCGGAGCCATTTCTAGATACCGGGGATGACACTCTGCTATCATCGTTGTCATCTCCGCCAGCGACTCGACCGCCACCTCTCCGGCGAGTCAAGCCCCCGGCTGAGGCCATGAGGATGTCGGGATGTAGGACGGTGGACTGAAAGCGGGGAACTGGTTGAGCAACTGGTGATGATGGGGACCCGGCCGCGGGGCGTATATGGTGATGCGTCTAGGTTGGATTCGGAGCAGACCAAAAACTAATGAAAAAAATAAGAAGAGGAATCTGGCGTTTATCTCACTGATTTCCTGTGTGGAAATTAATTGTCAGGGGCGGTGGAGCGCAGAGCACAAGGAGAGTGACAGATGAAAGAGACTACGCAAGATAAGAGGAGAAGAAAACCACAGGGAAGAGCCAGAGGATGGCTAGGAGGAATACCAAGTGACCGAAATCAATCTGCTGTGTAGATATCAAAGCAACAGAGAATTGACGTTCCTGTGCCTAATGATAATTCTAAAGATCATGGTCGTCTCAAATAACATTTCTTTCCTCCGTAATCTTTCTCACTAACTTCTGCTGGTTTGTTAGCGCTTCGCCGGTTACGGATGAGAGCCGCACCAAGATACGTCTGATCTTGAACCTCAACAATAACTGGCACGGTTTCAATTGACTTATCATAATTAACTATGCGAACCCAACCACCTTTGGACGGAGAATTTGTCTAGTTGGCCGCGTGAAAACGCAAATCATACATAACTATTCCATACAGATACCATGCCACTTCCTAACAGGTACACGTCATCCGATTAGTGAGATGGACAGATAAAAACGATGAACTCAACAGAGTACTTCAGCCTTACGATGTGTAAAGGCAACAGACATCTTCTCAAACCCGTTTCTGATCTACAGACAGTAGTAGACTGGTCAAAAATAGCATTCAAATGTGATATACACGATATAGTAGGGCGAAAAAGCACCGGCATGTATCAGCATACAAAGCAGCGTCCACGATGGCTAGGGGACCTCCAACTCTAGGATTTTGTGGCAGATGCACGCTCACATCCCTGTTCTTTTTCTATCAGACCCTCCAACCTATTCCCGAACCGTAGTATTGAGCGTTTAGTGGGCTAAATCATCATTAGCGTCAATCTCCAGAATACCTTGTACTCGCACGAGATAAACTTACCATCAGGCTGGGCAAGGATGTACTCAACAGCCTTGTCAACTGTTGAAAGAATAAGTAGATGAACTTTGATGAGCGATTCGCTAGGCACTGTCCGAGTGTACTCACCACTGTGGATAGTGTCGGCCTCCTTGTCAGGGATCTCAATGCTGAACTCCTGTTGACAGACTCGTTAATATAATGCTCTTCTGGGAAATCGCCCGCTAAACCATACCTCCTCAATAGCCATCACAACCTCGACAGTATCCAGGGAATCCAGACCGAGGTCGTTCGAGAAGTGGGAAGAGCCGTTGATCTGCTCACGTTAGACTTTGTCCATATGACCAATCTTTGCTCTCTTGAAAGTTTGAAGATCGAAGGGGTAGCCGGCCCATAGCATCAGCTGGCATAAACGGTGGCCACGAACCTTGCTGGCATCGGAGACCTGTACACCATCAATCGCGTCAGTAATTCGGTACTCAAACACCATTTTTGGTAACATTTTTGCTGTTCCGTCCGATGGACCACTGAGAGCAAGGGAAAAGAAGTCGAACGAACGAACCTTGTCAAAGTTCTTCAAGAGGTTGACTATCCGGCCCTCGACCTCCTCCTTGTTCAGACCGGCGGGAGCAGAGTAGAGGCGGACACCCTGGTAAGCAAAGCGAGGGGCGAATTGAGCAGGACGAGCAACAGGAGAGCTACGGATCTGGAAGGCAGCAGGAGTCCTGACAGCACGGGGAACGGAGGCTCTCAACGAGCGGACGACAGCGGAACGGAACATGGTGACTGTGTTAAGGGTGGGTGAAAGGGGCAGATTGCCTGACGAAGTAAAACCCGACTGAAGGATAGATTATTCAAACAAGAGAATATAGAACAAGAAATGGAGGAGACGAGTTCGTCAGGGAGAATTGATAGACACCCAGGGAACTTGATTGACACAAGAGATGGAGGTTTCCCATCTTTTGCTTTGCGCTTGCGGCTCGGGAAGCAAAATCCTGCCGGCGGCCAATCAGCGGGCGGCAGAAAGGAATGACCTAAGCACTGCCGTTGCTAACTTGCTCCAAGCCAGCAAAAGACAGTCGGAACCTCATATCTTGCTGGAATTGAACCCTCTCCACCCCTCAACCGGGCCCTCGCTCTCCTCACTCTCCTCACTCTCCTCGTCTGCTCGTCGTCTTTTCTCTCCTCTCTATTCTGCTTCCCTACAACAGTCGCAATGGCCTCCTCGACATCTGTTGCGAGGCTGGTCGCCTACCGTCGCCCTACTCCCTACCTGTGGGCCTCTTCTCTCCGTCTTTCGCCTTTGGGTTCAATCGCAAACTTTTCCTCCTCGGTGTCGAGAGCTGCTACACCAGTTGGTCCTCCTCAGCCTGGATTCCGTCTACCTGCGCCGAGGAAATGGGACCAGGATCCCGAGTCTTCGCTAGACAAGGCCAGCAAGTACTTTCTTATGGCTGAATTATTCCGGGGCATGTACGTGGTTCTGGAGCAGTTTTTCAGACCACCGTAAGTTTTCCTGGCACTTTCACATCTTTAATTTTTGTACAGTCTCAGAATCAGTTTTTCACGGTTCTGGCTGTACATTTTAATTCGTTTTAAGCATTTGGGGGAATCACGAGACTAAGACCGGTTTTCAAATATAGTTATACTATCTTCTACCCCTTCGAGAAGGGTCCCATCTCCCCCCGCTTCCGTGGCGAACATGCTCTGCGCCGCTATCCCACTGGTGAGGAGCGTTGCATCGCTTGCAAGCTCTGCGAGGCCATTTGCCCCGCTCAGGCTATTACCATCGAGGCCGAGGAACGTGAAGACGGAAGCCGTCGGACAACCAGATATGACATTGATATGACCAAGTGCATCTACTGCGGTTATTGCCAGGAGAGTTGCCCTGTTGATGCTATTGTCGAGAGTAAGTTGATCCGACAGGTTGATTAGTGTGACCCCACAGCTGACAGGATACGCGCAGCTTCCAACGCGGAATACGCCACTGAGACCCGAGAAGAGTTGCTGTACAACAAGGAGAAGCTTCTGGCCAACGGTGACAAGTGGGAGCCAGAGATTGCCGCAGCCGCTAGAGCCGATGCCCCCTACCGGTAGGGCGCGGTCGATTTCTCTTTTTATTAATGAAGAACCTTTCTACGATTGGCTGTTGTACTCTAGCGATCCTTGCCGAGAGATCAGAAATCACAAAATTAGAGTGACGGAAAAAAGAGAGTTTTCCATCTATTCGAGATGGCAAAGGTATCGACTCCTTCATGGAAGTCTAACTTTTGCCTCTCCGCCTTGTACATAACGAATCCTCCGCCTGCGTTATCCCGCATATACAGTTCAGGCTCAAAGGAGTTTTCGAGCCGCCAAAATCTGGCGTTTCTGTTTCTTGTCTTTGTCGCGATGTCAGGAATTCCTGGTTTGTCTTTGTTTATTTTCTACTGTTCTGCTAACGAGTCAATCAAACAATTCACTTTTCATTTGTATCAACATGGTATCTGTCCAGCCTGTGCTGCATGGGGTCTTCTAGTCTTCCTCAATAGCAGTAGTCATCCGAAGGCATTAAATATATATGTTCCATCAGTGTAGGACAATAAACGAAAAGACAAAAAAAGCCCTGATATTTGCACGAACAAATCGCTGCCTATGCATACATGCACAACATGAAAAGAGAGCATTTCCCAAAAGACCCCAAACACCAGTTCTCCAGATCCCAATCAGTTTCCTTCCCTTACTTTTTGACAGGGTTGTCTGTCATAGATACACACAGCACCGGGGCCATCACCGGGGCCATCACCGTGGATGCTTTTCCTTCATTTCTTTCCTCCCACCTTGGCTTTGAAGCTTCCCTCAAACCCAGGTCTGGCCTTCTTCTTGCCTGCGGCAGGTATCTTGCCCTTGTTGCCCTTCTCCTCGCGTCGCTTGCGGAGGTTCTCCTCGCGCTTCTGCTGACGCGCGTCCTTGCCCTTCTTGACGGCTTCAAGACGCTCCTTCCATTCCCGCTCGGACTTCTTCTTCGCGGACTCCTTGCGCTTCAGCGCCTTCTTGAGAAGGGAGGTGTCATCCCGGACCTTTTCCCCGTGCGCCCGCTTCTTGGCGTTCAGCCACATGTCCTTCTGTTCGATATCCGCACGCTTCTGCTCGTCCATCTCGGCCAGGCGGGCCTTCTTTGCCTCTGCCGCCTTGAGCGCCGTAGCGGGGTCCTGGGGCCCATGGCGCTTCGGCTGTTCCCGTACGTTCATCAGACTGGGATCGGCCAGCTGGCCATCGGCGAACACAACCCGGCCGAATGAGAAGTTGACGTTCGAGCCGATCGAATCAGCGGGGGACCGCGGCGATGCAAGAAGTGAGCCTGAGCCACCGGGGGAGAAGCGCTTGGCCATAGCCTCGTCTTTGGCGCGCTGCTCTTCTTCCCTGGCCTTCTGTCGCAGCAGTTTCTTGTGTGCCTTGCGCTGCTCGGCTTTTTGCCGGCGAGCCTCGATCAGCTCCTGGCGGTTTCGGGCGGGCTTGCCGTTGAATCCGTCGGCTTGCCGGGCGGCACGCAGCTCGTCCAAGCGCTTCTGTAAGCGCTGTTTTAACTCTTCAGGGGTCGGCTTGAGAGGCTTGGGTTCAGATGATGATTTTTGGGAGGCGTCGTTGGCGTCGGTGGAAGCAGTAGGAGGGGCGATGGAAGATATGGAAGAGCTGCCGGAGTGATCATTTGAGGCATCAAACCCGGGAGAGTTGGGTGTTGAGGATGGAGAGGATGACTGTTCTGCGGGCTCGGGGTTGAATTCGAGTGAGAGGCCTTCCTCAGGGACAGCTCCTTCTTGCTCAATCTCATCATCGCTGTCTTCTACCTTGGAGGGCTTCTGCTCTTCTCCCTTATCGCTCGCGGGCTTCGACTCGGACTTTTCACTTTTTTTGTCTTTCTTGGAAGCTTCCTTGGCCTTCTTCTTTTCTTTCTGAGCGGCTTTCTTCTGTGCTTTCTTCTCCTCTCTTAACTTCTTGCGCGCTTCGGCTTCCTCCAATTTGGCCGCCGCATCATCCGATTGCTCTGTAGCGGCCTGCTTCTGCTTTTTCGATTTGACATCGCCTCTCTTCAGGCCTTCCTTGGGAAGTTCAGAGCCCAGCTCTTCTTCCTCGGATGACTCGGACCCATTCTGCTCCTCCTCGCCACGCTTACGCTTCCGAGCATTTTCGTCCATCACGTCCTTGGCCGTTTTGGCAGAATCGGGATCCAATTTCGCACGTTTGGCTTCGCGGGCTTGCTCCTTAGTCTGCTTCTTTCGCTTCCATTGGTCCTATAGGAGGAATTATGGTCAACCACGGCTGGGAAGTATTCAACCCATAATGGAGAGAAAGAAGCAAGAGTTTTCCTCTGGGTGCAGAGCATGGGATCAATCATGATGTTCACGTACGCTGCCATCTTCACCATAATAGTACTTCGCAGGAATCAAAGACAGAAGGCCGTCGAAGGCCTGAGCATGGCTTCGCAACCGTTCCTGATAGAAAAGGTTGTCAGTTTCCCAAGCGTCGTGAGCGCGGGGCTTACGAGGCTTCAGGAACCACATACCTCGATATCATCCATCCTGACTTCCCTAACCAGACCGCAGACTATCCAATTATAGAAACGAGCGATCTCGTTGCAATATTCAGACGTTGATTTGTCCTACTGGTTGTCCAGAAGCGGTCGGTCAAAGTCGTTAGCGAAAGCTGCGATACCTCGAAAAATTTAGGTGGGTGTTGAAATCTTGGCATTCAGTTTCTCCGCTCGGCTGGACTGATTGGAATGATTGGTTCACCGCCCGCACAGTATATTCACTATCCACATTGAGATGTATGGAGATTATCATAATTGGAGGACAGTGTTGCCATAGGTGTTGAAAGTGTTGACACTATGTAGACTATATGAAAGACCAGAAGCTATTGTTCTGAGCGATTGGGAATGCTATCTCGCGTTGGTGTGTTTAGTTATAGCTGCTCTTTGAATGGAATGACTTGTTTCAGTTCAACTGAATGACTGAGAGGGATGTGGAACATATAAGGTGTGAGGCAAAGATACCTTCTTAGAAGGGTACTTAGAAATAGGTCGGTATCATCTGCCCTGCACATAAGCGCTATGCGTAGCTTGCCCGTCTAACCACATGGCACCAGGAGGATGAGATATGAATATAGAAATGCCAAGTACTCCTTCGCTATATCTAGATTTATTGAGCCATGAACAAAAACGCCAATGAAAGTCCTACCGAGACGAAACCTGACATCGTCCTGGTGCTCTAACCAAGTAAATCTCTCTCTCGTCAGCCTTGGACCTTGAGTAATGAACAAGTATCGAGACCAGGACATCCTTCGCTCCTGACATCCGTGATATTGTCATAAGGAAACGGAACAGTCCAGATCAAATCGAAGCTGTTTGCAATGAGCAAGACTTCACGCACATTATAGTCCGGCACGACTCACCGGTCCTCTGGATATTCCGGGACGTGATCAGAGCCTAGTTCCTCCATGATCTCTTTCATTTTCCCATGCCGCCAGGAAATCAGGATATTTCCCGGTCCCTGGAAGTTCCTCACGAGCTTTGCTACGCACCTGACTTGATTCCGTTTGCATGAGAGATCAACTGCAAGACCTAAGTCGATGGCGAGCGGGAGGACGGTCTCGAATGAGCGTCTGTGTTGACCATCTAAGCGAGAGTAAGGAGTTAGATCGGCATGATCTGATTGAGCCGTAAGGAACGCCAGTATAGACAGTGGCATACATCTGTTTGGCCTCGGGGCGACGATATAGCCGATGTCATATGTAGAGTTGACACCGAACACGTCCCGGAGGCATTGTGCCCGTCTGAAGCCGTCGGCATTCAAGCCGGAATCCTCGGGGTCGCCGGATTTCTCGCCATGTCGGATGATGTAGAGTGTTGGTCGGTCTGCCGCTGTTGAGGTGATCAGGAGGGATGCGAGTAGCAAGACGAGGAAACAAACATGATACATTCTGACCACTATTCGGACCGGGTAAATGTTCTCTGTGGAGATGCGCTGATTAGATGGACATAACAGTGTAAACAACTTCTTATAGATGCTCCATCACGATCTCTCCTGAAAGCATGCTTGAGCAAATGCAAGATGCGTGTTACTTCACTAGTGAAAGCAAGAATAAGCGGAGGCCTGCGTAACATCGCAAGTCGATGAAGAAATCGAGCTGGAGACGGATGATCTGTCCAATGCCGTGTCTCATGCTAATGTTTTTAGGCTCATCACTGAGGGAATCTCGTCTCGATTGGACTGAGCCGACTTCTGTGAGAGGTAGATCAGGTGCCTTTTTAAGCCGTTAGTTGGTTAAAGAAGTTTGTGTGACTTGGTCTTTCTGCGACTCGGCCATTATGTGATTGTCCTCGTGGAAAAGTAATGATCATGAAGTAGATCTGCGTCTTTTTCAACAAAGACGGGTTGCTTGCTGGCACATGTTTACTTTTGCGAGAGTGATCATCTGCATCTGATAGGCGTTGAGCATGACTCTTACCGTCTTACGACGATCTTCACCCTGATATCACACGCTGCATGAACTATTGAGCTAGTTGATTGTAGACCCGTCGGAGACGACTCCCTTCGCTAAGTAGACATTGAGACTTTTCGTGTTGAATGATGGTCGGGAAGACACAAGCTACAGGGTTAATCGTGGCTTATCTAGTGGGATAAAGGACGTATAATAGAGGAGGGTCCAAGTAGGATGCCTTTCCTGCAGTCAGCTTGAACTTGGATACGGGGAACAGTAGCATATATGCATGTAGACATCAAGTACCGAGTGGATGGTTCCTCAGGTCTTGCAGGTGCGATTTGGAGTTGCCTCGTAGCCTTGCTCACAGAATGTCCGAACTCCGACAATTAAGAGCTTAGCCCATTGAGCGGATGAGCCGGTCTGTATGTTCAATCTAGAACTTCTCACGCTTTGATTCGCGCTGTTATTCTATATCCGCGGCACTGAATGATTTAGCTCCATGTCAGAGGTAGGTAGTCAATGGAGATGCGAATAATATGGCTGCCTGTTGAGTGGAATTAACGTGAGGTAAGGCGGTTGTATGATTGGAGGTGCCGCTGCAGTACCTAAGGTAAAGTATCCAAGATAGTACGGAGTAGGTATCTTACGGAAGTCGGCAGTCTCGGATAAGTCGCGATGAATACAATGAAATGATTGCAGTCCCTAAATATAGGTTTGGCAAGAACAATATTATGAAATCAGAAATGACAGGCAACACTCCACAGTTTCTCTAACGGAATGGATAACAATAGGAAGATGCATAATGCTGTTGCCATTGCACAGCCACTCGACCCAGCCACAGGTGGCTCTATATCCTGGAGTTTTATGGTAATCTGCTACCAAACAGCGGTTCAGCTTGCCGAAAATTAGGCAACTAGAAATTGAGGGCTTTTTTTTACTTCAAAAATTCAGTCTCTTGGTCGATATCTGGAGCCAGCCAAGAGTGCACTCCCTAATAATATTTGGACCCATCTAGCATCGAAATTCAGGATCTGACCAATATTTACCTAAACGAGTAAAGCCCAGAAGATCTGGCGGGGCATGTCCTGCGTAATTAGGATGTACGACTTTGCGTATTGTCGTCGAATTCAGCCCTGGGCTTCTGGAAGGCCACAGCCACCCCGCTACTTTCGCCGACCATACTGCGGTGTGGCGGAGGTATTGATGTGGAAATATGGATCCTGAAGTCGAAATGTATGGCTATGGAATGGATAAGCCACAATATGAAGTATCCGCATACCAATGAGAGTCGTCAGTAAGCGCCCCATCGATGACGGGACAGTGATAGCATCCGACAGAGTATTGTATTGTCCTATACGTATCTAGCGGTGGTCTCATCGCCCTGAATGTGGGGTTCCATCCCGTCAGCAATCGATTCAGCCCTACATGTACCAAGCAGTTAGTTACTAGGTTGTAGATATAAAAGACAGGAGGGGCGCCCTTGAACTCTACCTCTGCTTCATCATTCTTGAGTCAATCACACATCGTCTCCTCTTGAGAGTTCCATCTTACCCACTTTCTATTACTCCAACACACTACCCAACACAATAATGTCCGGTCCTTACGATCAATACTCCCAGCAGCAAGGCTACGGCCAGGGCCAGGGTCAATACCAGCAGGGAGGATACCCCCAAGGCGGCTACGGACAGCAGCCTTACTCTAACCAGCAATACGGCCAGGAGTATGGCCAACAGCATGGTCAGCAACACAGTCAATACGGAGGCTCTGGTGACTACTACAACCAGCAGCGCGATTACAACCAGGATCAGTACGGCCAGCACCAGCAGAGCCAATACGGCCAACACGGCCAACACGGCCAACACGACCAGTACGGTCAACAACACCAAGGCCAGGGGTCATACGGGCAGCCTGGGTATGTCACCTGCCCCACCACTCTCTTCTGACGTTCATAAACTTCCGGTAACATCAGCTGACATTTTCTCTCTCTAGCTACAATGACCAGAACGCTCCCGGTGGAGCCCAAGAGGGCGAACGAGGACTCGGCGGTGCTCTCGCAGGCGGTCTCGCGGGTGGATTTGCAGGCCACAAAGCTGACCACGGTATTCTCGGTACCATCGGAGGCGCCATCATGGGATCCGTCCTGGAAGACGCCGTCAAGAAGCACAAGCACAAGGATGGTTCCTCCGGACACGGCAGCTACGGTGGCTCTCAGTACGGAAGTCACCAAGGCCGGCCTGGTTCGTCAAGCGGTGGTGGTCTGATGGATAACTTGGGCGGCTTCTTCAACAAGAAATAAATTACTTGGGTGGTCCTCGGCTGAGCCAGTACAGAGTACCGCAAGCTTAGAGTCAATTTTGCGAGTTTCTCTTTTACCTGTTTGATGACTTTGACCTGCGCGATGATGATCTGCTGTTGCTTCGCTTGTTTCTTCTTGATACCGATGTTGCATATGAGGCACTTTGCTTGACGGCCGATGACTAGATTTAATTTGTTTTGATCTGCACATTGAACTTGAAGACTGGCTTGTAGACCGTATATTGTGCCAAAGTAACGTGAGCCATGCTGATTGATTTGGTCAATGCAGCCCAAAGAACATTGCTAACATTGTAGCTATTGGTCTCGTCAATCATCAAGCGGCCTATATGTTAGTCTACCGAATGAGCCTGACTGAGATATTAACCGTCCACTCAAATCAGAGTAGCGTCTGCAGTCTATGTAGGTGACTTGACTTGAATCTCGTACTAGTACTGGCTGTGCTGATGACTCTCGAGCCGCCTGACCATAGCTTCATCGCGAGACAACCAGCCAGCTTGTTAGGCCCTGATAGCCGGCCGAGTATTGCTTGAGGACCTGGCACTTCATCTCTTCTCGTCCTGATTTGAAGTATCCGACCGCTGAGTCCATTTGGGAACCAAAAAAAAAAAAAAAAAGCGTCCCCGAAGACGTTTCTTGTCAATGGTAATGTCTGCTAGGACAGTCCACTGCTAGCCATGCAATACACATGACAGACTGACTGTATGAGCCCTTATATGCGAAGTACTGTCTTTCAAGCTTCCTTCCAACCAAATGTACCCAGTATTGCTGTAATTCAGAGGTTGTGAACTGTGAAGGGTGGAACCACCCTAAAATGGACTAGCATACACTATGTGTGCCTCAGGCCCAAACATCCGCCAAGCCCGACATCAAAAGTTCGATCGGCCGGAAACTGAGCATTTCGCATACGGAGCAGCTCAACCTTCTAATTCAGCATAAATCAAAATGATTGTTCGACAATTATGCGTGCGGCAGAGTATGTGTTCCATTGATAGTTCTTTAATATAACATCATTTAGAACCTGTTGCTAATCAGTCTTCTGCAGGCCGCCAATTTGCTCTCAACCGACACACTCGCATCTTGAGCCGACTCTCCTCGACAGGAGCTCCTGTCGAAACCGCAGAACAAACCCCCGCAAAAGAAGTAACGCAGCAGCCAGCTTCATCTGCCAGCGCCGTGAGTGAGGCAGGATCAGTAGCATTGTCGGCTAAGGAGGCGTGGCGCAAGCGCGAAGTGCAAAGTGAGCGAGAACGAACAACCTTCCTCCATCTCCTGCTGGAGTTCTGACTTTATACCCTTGCAGGACACAAGTTTCACGCCCTCGGTAGTGATGTAGCAGTTGAATACCAGCCAGAAGATCTGGTCCGAAATCCCCCTCGACCCTCCGATATCACCCTAGAATTGCTCCTCGCATCCCAAACACACCTCGGCCATTCTACTTCTCGCTGGAACCCGCAGAACTCGCGCTATATCTTTGGTATTCGAGAAGGTGTTCATATTATTTCGCTTGATGTAACTGCAGCGTACTTGCGGCGTGCAGCCAAGGTTGTGGAAGAGGTTGCTGCCCGAGGTGGATTGATTCTTTTCGTCGGCACACGAAAGGGCCAGAAACGGGCGGTTGTCCGGGCCGCGGAGCTGGCCAAAGGCTACCACATTTTTGAGCGTTGGATTCCTGGCAGCTTGACCAATGGACAACAGATCTTAGGCCATTGCGATACCAAGGTGGTAAATGCGTTTGACGAAGAATTGCCGGAATTCAAGGATCTTCGGACGGATCAGCCGGCCATCAAGCCGGACCTTGTGGTGTGCTTTAATCCCGTTGAAAATGTTGTCTTGCTGCACGAGTGCGGTTTGAACAATGTTCCAACCATCGGCATCATCGATACGGATGCCGACCCAACTCAAGTGACTTACCCCATTCCTGCGAATGACGACAGTTTGCGTTCCGTGGCTGTCATTGCTGGCGTTCTGGGAAGGGCCGGAGAGGCAGGCCAAAAACGGAGACTTGAGGAGGCGAAGAAGGGCAGGATCACACACCGACTCCCTACACTGAAGGAGCTCGGCATCAAGCTTCCAGAGAATATGGTTGAGACCGCCGAAAACAAGCAATGATGTGTGTTGGCTCCTAGTGAGGTTTTGTTATTTCATACCCAAAGTTCAGCATTCGATCAACTGAGGGACTGTATTGTATATTGCTCTGTAAAGTTTTCTCACTTCCTGGTGTGATCATCTGTATTAACAGCTTCAATTCAAGTCAACTTTCCGGGGATCTTTCTTTATATCCTCTCAAGAAAACGGCCATATTAATACGGATCCGTATCTCCTGGTAAGTTCGGGCTGGAGTGGCAGCCAGGTGTTCCACCACGAAATTTGAAGCAATATGTTCAAGAAGGTCAATCTGAATTCTCTTAAAACTATTCTATCTTTCTATTCTGCAACGCCAAGCCCTCTCTTTCTTTTCATTTCATTTGTGCATAGCCTTATTACCAACTATAGGGTATCGGCGATTTAAATACAGTGTGACTCATCACGCTGTAGCAATTAATTCTTGAAAGTATAAACAACGCGGCCTCGAGAGTGTTTACCCTTGTATTCAAGAGGCCTGCCATCATCAGACACAACGCGCCTCTCATCGCCGTTGTGCAAGATGATATCCAGATCCTTCCAAGCGGGAACAAAGCCGCTCTCTTCGTCGCGTTTGAATCCAACAGTCACCTTATCCTCCGTCGAGCTGTAGCTGATGGTGTACGTTGACATCTTAGGCTGCAGGGAAATTCCGTCATCCTCATACCAGCTATAGGAGAAGACGCAACCATGAGAGCTGCCCTTGGGAGGGAATATCTCAACGCCTCTGTAGTCGTCAAGTTCGTCTACCGCCAATGAAGCCTCGGTCTCATCCCCAGGCACTCTGGTTTGAACGGGCTTTCCAACAGGAATGGCACCACCAATACGCGCGACAAGCGGGATGCTATCTCTCCATTGCGAGGGGATCTCGACCCACTGACCGGAGGCATAATAGGTGTAGGGCGAGTTCATGTTGACATACCCAAAGTCGAACTCATCATTCGCCTTACGCGGAAGGTACATCTTCGCAACGGTTACACCGGGCTCGTACACGCCTCCGACGAGGATCGTGTCACCGAACCAGAACTGTTCTTCTCCGGACTTGAGGGCCTTGGTCCAGACTTCAGGATCGGACTCGTATCCCCATCCAATCCAGCGCTGAGGCGGAGAAGCGGTCAGGTGGCTCTCCAGGCCAAGGGAGTATATGTAGGGGAGGATCTCATAACGGCGCTTGATGGTGTCGCGGACCAGCGGAGTGATCTCCGGGTACATCCAGGGCTCAATGACATCTCCGACGGAGGTGTTTCCGGGCGACGTCTTGAAGCAGTTGATGGCGAATCGAGGCGAATGGATACCCAGTTGGACCCATCGGAGGAGGAGTTCGGGAGAGGGTTGGGGTCCTGTGGAGGAAAGACAGTCAGTCTTCGTAGTTCATCAGCGGCTTTCAAGGGTGGAGGCTTACCTTCGAAACCACCAATATCATGACCGCAGCACTATCAGAAATCAGCATGCAATGTTCGCCTAGCTCAGTCTGCTATGGTGGAGTCTCACCTGCAATAGTGAAATACCAGCGTTCAATGACAAGGCGTTGGCGCCTTTCATGCTCTCCCAACTGGTCACATTGTCTCCACTCCAAGAGCTGGCTGCATAACGAAGGGTTCCAGCAGTGGCGCTTCTGGTGAGAACAAATGGCCTGTATTTGGGCTCCATGTCGACTAAAGCATCATGAGAGGCTTTGCCCATGAGTTCAGTATGCATTGCGCGGCCCCAGAGCCCGACGGATTTGTCTCTCTGTGTCTTTGCCTGTTCAGCGACTACTGATCCATCCAGAGCCAGTTGCCATCCATCATCGGGAAGTGTATATTCGTTGTTGTCGTTCCACATACCATCGATTCCGGCTCGCTTCAGGCTCTGGACACCTTCATACCACCATCGGAAAGCGAAGGAGGAGGTAAAATCAATGTGGCATCCATCACCACCGGTCGCACCCCCTGCGCTCCATAGTCTCATTGTGCCCGGTTCCTGAGTATCGGGCTTCTTGAACAGTGCGCCCTCACTGACAAGCTTCTGGTAATCTGGATGCGACGCAAGCACAAAGGGTTTGATGTTGGTAAGGAGTCTGATTCCTCGAGCGTGGTACTTCTTAATCCACTCTTCAGGGTTGGGGAACCGATACTTGTTCCAGGTGAAGACATTGCGGACCTTGGGTTCTGTCTCTGCAATTGAGTAACCGGAGCTCATCTGGTGGGCAGAGCATGGAATGCCGTGCTCCTTGAGCTTGTCTGCGAACTCCATAAGTCCTTGGTGCGCTGGTGGGTCATCAAGCATGGTGTACTTGTAACCACCGGAGATGTAGCCATAAGCCCAGCGAGGTACAAGGAGCGGGAAGCCAAGGAGCTCTGCATATTGCCTCACGGTATCCTTGAGGGTCTTTCCTACGATCAGATACTGCTCGAGGCCTCCATAGTCTTGACGGTACACCTTGAAGTGACCCCAGAGCCCATCGATTTCAGAACCGACTGACCACGTCCCTCTGGCGTGTGTTGTTGAGAAAAGGGCCACGCAACCAGCGGGAGTCACTTTGATCAGCAACGGGATGTGCTTATACAACGGGTCTGTGTTGTAAACATCGTACCCGAAGCTGTCTGTCGCGGAAAGCTGGAAGTGACGCCCGGTGAGGTCCATGGGCGCCCTCTTCTCTCCCAGCCCAACATGGAGCGCATTCCGGTCATGCTCAGAATAGTGCGCGATGCCGGTTGCGTCGGCCACGTACGAGCGCAGTGGCAGATCCCTGTGAAGGGGCTTCTCTTCACCGATCCACGACAACGAGACTACTGGAGTATTGCTCCATTCCACAGTGGCCGTCACGCCGCCGACCTCAATTGTCTTGGAAGAACCGCCACCGGTGGCAGATACATGAATGCCATTGAGGTCTGTGTTTGGCTTTGAAATGCTCGGATAGGGAGGAAGAGGATGGTCTTGCGAGGAAAATGTCACGCGGAAAAGGTTTTGACGAATCGGTTCGAATGTGAATTCAAAGGAACGATCTTTCGAGTTTCCTGAGCGCAGATACACTGAGGGGTCTGCCGCGGTATTTCCTGAAGGCTGTTCTTGGTAGCCTTTGGGGCAGAATTCTTTTTGAGGCATGATTGCTTATAGTTCGGTCAACTGATTCGAAAGAAGCAAGTCAGGAGAACTCTCGCGGAGAATCTACAGGAGAAGAAGTCTACAGTACGACGACATCATATCTATTTCAATGCTTCCCCTCATCATCCCCTCATTCGAGAAAGGGTAAGGTGGATAAACCTACGAGTGGTGTCACTGAGGAGTATATGATCGGATTTCGGCCTCCATATCCGTTGGCATACTTTCATCCCCGCAAAATTTCGTCGGTCCATCGCCGTCTTCTCCGTGATATGTCTCACCTGGTCACTCTTCAGGTTGATCTGCCCATCGGGGTTCACTGCCGAAATGCGAAACTAAAATATCCCCAGACAAACACGAACCTTCGCCCCACTTCGAAGTCTTCAGGTCCCGTTCGATTGATTGGACGAGGCATCGGAGGTTGCCCGTCGCTAAGAGTCATGCTATGCAATCCTGCGGTTTTAGCTTCATATTACCCATGTGCAACCAAGGCTAGATGGGCTTGGTCTCGCAATTGACTTTTGCAGACCTACCTAATAATGGCTTTCCGCTGCCAATTGCCATCGGGTTTTGGGTCGCCTCGTCCGGGGTTGTCCCCCACGGGGTTCCCCATACCTCACTTCTCTAACACACAAGTCCTGGGTGGATAAAAAGGTCTCCTTGATCAACATGACAGGTCGTCAAGGAATCGAGTTTGTATGCTCGCAGATCCCACAGTGACCTTGGCGACGCATACTATCAAAGTCACGCCCTCTCCTTTCTCCTTCTCACCTTGTCTTTTGGCTCTTTAGGCACCTGAAGAATACTTCACCCATCTGGGACTTCAATCAAGGCCAGGGAAGCACAAGGGAACCATGTCCCTAGGAGCAGAGCCGGCACACGGTAAGGGCAGAGATGAGGAACTGATTGAGACAGTTCATCCTGCCCCTTATCAAGGTCATACGCAACATAGCGAGACAAAGAAAGATGACGCCCTTCAGCTCATTGAGCAGGTGGGCCACTCGACAGTGCTTACCGCAGAGAATAACGCACGAGTTCTGCGACGGATCGACTTGAGGCTGTTGCCTATTCTCTTGGGTATCTATTTCCTGCAACAGCTCGACAAGTCGACCCTCTCGTATGCCTCAGTTTTCGGTTTGATCGAGAAAGCCCATCTCCATGGCAATCAATACTCTTGGTTAGGCTCGGTGGTGTATGTCGCGCAGCTCGTTGCTCAGCCCCTTATCGCCTATATCTTGGTGAAGGTCCCCCTGGGGAAATTCTTAGCCGCCACCACTCTTTTGTGGGGTGTCTCGCTGACATGCATGACGGCGGCGAACACCTTCCCAGGCTTGCTGGTCTGTCGGATGTTCCTCGGTCTATTTGAGGCCGGAGTTGGTGAGTGTTTCCATGTCATTGTCAGCATCCATCATTGATTACTGACTGTGAGAGCAAAGCTCCGGCTTTCATCGCCGTTACGCAGATGTGGTATCGTCGGCTCGAGCAGCCTGTTCGACTGGGTTCATGGTACGCCATGAATGGAGTGGTGTTTATGGTAAGATTTAGCTTTTGAAAGAGTTTCAGGCATTCTTCTAGAGCTGTGTTAACAAGCATGTTACCAAATAGTTCGGCAGTCTTATAACTTGGGGCCTTGGACATATCGCCTCGTCCGTTTTCGAACCCTACCAGGTCAGTGATACTGCGTCTGTTCAACGTTCACGGACGTGTGACTGACTATATTACTAGATTATCTTCCTCTTTTTCGGTCTCATTACCGTCGTGTTCTCCGTGGTAGTTCTGTAAGTAGATGCTGATCAACCATCCCTAATGTTGGAAGCTGCTAATGCGGATTGTCCAGGCTTTATATGCCAGACTCGCCAATTCGTGCTAAATTTCTGAATGAGGAAGACAAACTGGTCGCTATTGAAAGGTATTCTACAGAAGATTTCGGGGCAAGCATTATGGCACATTGGTCCTAACGATGATTTAGACTTCGCATGAACCAGCAAGGTATCGAGACTCACCAGTGGAAATGGGATCATGTGAAGGAGACCTGCTTGGACCTGAAGTCATGGGTTTGGTTTGCTCTGATGTTTTCCATCTCGTAAGAGGACCAGGAACTCACTATACCGAGAATGTGGCTCACACACAGCAGGATCCCTAGCGGCGGCATATCCACCTTCGGCCCTCTTATTATCAAGGCCTTTGGATTTGATCAGTTCAAGACGATTCTTTTCAACATTCCGTTCGGTGCAGTACAGCTCGTGGCCACTATGGGTGGAGCGTGGCTGGCAACCTTCATCAAGATGAAGGGGCCTATAGTCATTCTCTTGTGTCTACCGCCAATTGCTGGCTGCGTAATGCTACTGCAAATTGCGCACGATGCGGAACACCGGGGCGCTCTGCTTGCTGGATATTACATTGTAAGTCATGAAGACCCTTTTTGATGAGTGCCGCTAACAACAGCCAGCTTTCTGTCTACCCAGGCATCAGTATGTTTCCTAAGAGGTATGCTTCTTACTGTAGCTGACCGACAATTAGCACCTATGATCTATTCCTGGTCTGCCGCGAACACTGCCGGCGAAACGAAGAAGAAAGTGACGACTGGCCTGTTGATTGTCGGACAATGCGTTGGCAACGTACGTGTGCCTACAGAAGAATAACAATAGGGAGTCCCATGCTAATGTTTCCCAGATCATTGGTCCCACTCTGTACACAACCGCCGAAGCGCCGCTTTACAGACGCGGTCTGCTCTCAAAGTAAGCAATCAGACACCACAGACTCGTTCCGGCATACTAACGAAAAACAGCCTCGCCATGTTCTGCGTACTGGTTCTTCTCTGCATGTAAGTTATCTTCTTCTCCTTTGCGGCACTCAAGCTCTAACCCTCACGTTTAGTATCAACCTGGTGTATCTCTGGTTTCTCAACAAGAAGCACTCCCAGAAACGAGTTTCAATGGGCAAGAATGCGACGATCATTGATCACTCGATGTACGCTGTTGGTGATGGTCCAGTAGACAAGGAGGGTGTGCCTATCCAGCAGACCGCCACGGAAGACAATGCGTTCAAGGACCTTACGGACTGGCAAAATGAGGACTTTGTCTATGTATTCTGATTTATTATCCATGACGTTGCTCGTTGGGTATCTGCTACTGAACTGTTTTTCTGCGGAAACTGTGCTACTTTCCATTTCCGGATTCAGTCCGAAGTGCCATCGCTTTTTGCTCACTTAGCCAGCCGGATTATGACCAGAGAGAGAAAGTATGTGTCCTAATCACATCCTGAGCAGTCCCAGAGCACTCCAGATAGTCCCTATTTACTCACTGATCCTTGCCTGAACTAGTACAGAGTAAATCTAATTATTCACCCTAAGAACCACATGACAGCCAAATAAAAGTCATTACACCCAAGCATGGCCATATCCATTCACATTCCTCCCTTTTTTAGGGCAATAGTTTCACATTGTCCTAATGATGTCTACAATTTTTGGGTTCACCTATAGTACTAAGGAATAGTGCTGACACGAAACAATGACCTGAGAATTCCCGTATACAACATCTGTATTGCTACCTAAAAGTCTATATGTTGATCTTGTTCTTCTGGACATGTACATATGTGTAGCGGCAAGTGCGGCACCCTGCGAGGCTGCGAGAAGCCAATCACCCCATCAAACGGGCCGTCCTCAGCCATGACTTCCAAGACCAGGGAGTAGGCTTCGTCCAACTGTTCGGGGGTTGGGGCAGTGTAATAGCAAAGATACGGACCCCCGGGCCATCGACAAAAATGAACTCGTGCTGTGGCAGTTGATTGATAATTCCAGCGATTTGGATTTGCAGGATTTGGGAGTTGGTTCCCATTCCATGGAGGCAGAGGAATTTCATGGCTTTGTTGTCGTTAGGGATGCAAGGTATGGAACAGTTCAACAGACACTATGGAGGAGTATATGTAGAGATAGTGATAACCCCACAATGAGATCCACATAGACTCCGGAGATCGAGTGGATGTTGACGAGGTGTCATCTTTGCCAAGGTTAATCCATGCAAGACATGTATCTCATCTCGGTGCCTTTTGGGGCCCAACAGAGAGGCTGACCACCAATGTGTCGGGCCTGGCTCGGCCACATTTTCCCAACATTTGCCGTTCTTGGATTGTTCGAGGCTGACATGTTAATAATAGTTGTACTAAGAGAGAAAGACAAAGGAGGTGCTTATTATTATTATTATAGTGCCCCCAGTCTGATCACTAGCGCCCATCCCCCGTCATCATCTACACCTCTTGCATTCTCTGCCCTGGTTCCCCTGACAGATACAGTCATCTGGTGTACGTTCGTCCATTGTCAAATTACTTGATATTCCTTCCATATACTGCTTTTCTATCTGAAGTCTGCGACCTGAGACGCAACCATGGAGCAAACTCCCGATTGTCTTCCCTATAGCCCGAAATTCCCACTCCCTTCGGCTATCGCCCCTCCCTTGTGGCTGGTATTATCTTCATGATCCTCTTCTTGGGGGTGACAATTGTCCATGTGTGGCAGGCCTTTCGGCATAGAAATATCTGGCTTGGGCTAGCCTTCTCCCTAGGTGCATTCGGCGAATTTGTCGGATGGTTAGGCCGTACCGTGGCGTATCGCTGTCCGTATTCTGTCAAGCTGCTCGAGATGCAGCTGGCCGCATTAATCATGGGTAAATCTTCAATTTCCTTTTCACTGTTGGGAAGCTGTATAACGATATGAACAGCCCCCGCCTTCACGACAGCCGGCATCTACGGCGTCCTGAGCCTGATGATCCCCATCATCGGACAGGACAAGTCCCCCTTGCGACCGAACCTCTACCTCATCATCTTCATGACGGTTGATTTCTTCAGTCTCCTCCTCCAGGCCGTCGGCGGTGGTCTTGCTGGCGCCGCCTTCAGCCAAAACACCTCCCCCTGGCCGGGAACCTACACGATGGTGGCTGGGATAATCTGGCAACTGGTCTCGACCTGCGTCTTTGCTACATTGCTTGAGTACGTGATCTACCGTGGCCTAGGCCCGATTGCGCGGAATCAAGCCCTGCGGCGGATCTCGCTGTCGTTGATGATTGCGGTTACGTGTATGGTGGCGCGGGGCGTGTATCGGAGCATGGAGTTGATGAATGGGTGGCGGGGGTATCTGTTTACGCACGAGGTGTATGCGATTATTCTCGATGCGGCATTGATGTTCATTGCGAGTTTGGTGCTGTGTGTTTGGAACCCAGCGGCTTTGATCCTGGATGCGAGGGAGAATACGAGAAGGCTGCAAGCTGGGGTGGAATTGAGACATGAGCAGGGTGCGAAGAAGTGATCGTCTTTCAAGATATCTACAGTACATACTCAACGGAGACTCAACGCAGTGTATTATCATTATCAACCAACATGACAGTTCTAAGGGTAACTAGGTAACTAGGTAACTAGGCAACTAATGATTAACAAACTGACTATCCTCCTCTGAACAGTGGATCCAAGAGTTACGCGCCAGAACAATGGATGTGTTTGTCACACTTTTAATATCACAGCTCTCCAGTCTGAGGTGTCTCTATCTAGGCAAGAATTATGCCTGAGAGAGCCACCTTATGGGCATAATGCTCTGTTCAGCCCTCTGTAAGGATTACTAAAATAGCTATCTCCCTTCCTTTACACATCACTTAAAGATATTGCGCGAAGGGCCTCTCAGTTAAGTGCAGCGTAACATGGGGGGCTGGGGAAACACTGGGTAATCGTCCATTTGATTATTTTGATCCATCCAAGCCTGCCCCTGCGCGTGAGACTATGATGAACAGAGTCCAAGCTAAGACGCTAAGCCCCTGGCCTTTGTGATGCCCTCATGAAAGTGATGGTGGACCTCATGGATCCCCCCAGCTTTAGGATGTATGCAGTTTAGAGAGCACAAAAGTGTCATGTAGTTGGATGGATATGATAGCTCGCTCGGCTTATGATAAGGGCCTAATTTGATCATGAAGAAGCTCATTCAGACTTAAATTTGTCTTATATTCCTTATTTTCAAAGCAAATGTCGACTAGATTCTTCCCAGCGCGTATAAAGACGTCCTGTCGCACAGTTCCATTTAAGCATAGACCTAAGAATGCTACACACTGCCGAGCCGGCTTAATCCCGATGAGGGTGTCACCCCACGGAGTCTATTTTCTCGACACTGTTCCGCTGAAATCTTGATTTCCCCAGATTTTCCCGCGTTCAACGAGTAGCTCCCAGTATTTTCCTGAATATGTGATATGTATTCACCCTGCGATGGATTCAGATGCATCATCCCGTGTCGTGTCGGCTCCACCGGGTAAGAAGCGAATTCCGGTATGTTTCCCTCTCCCTATCCAACGTGAGCACATGCGACATTATAGCTGACAACATGATTTAGCGAGCCTGTAGTGCTTGTAGAACGTCCAAGGTATGTTCTCTTTGTCTATAGTATTCTCTGACTGACCGCTGATGTACCCAGGTCAAGTGTGATGGGAAGAGGCCTTGCACCAGGTACCAATCGCCACCAGTGATACACATTGCTAGAGCGATAGTGCTGATTGTATATCAGGTGCAACAAGCTAAAAAAGCGATGTGTCTTTTTTCACATCCCAAAGGACCCTGCTACGGAGTACGTTCTCGCACCTGTTTTACGCCTACTCCCTGTATAACTGACGCCTCTGCAGGAGACTCGAAAACGTCGAAGCTGAGGTTCGTCATCTCAGAGAGCAAGTGGATGCTCTACGTGATCTTCTGCAGACATATTCAAACTCGGACGCCCGAGGTCTCATCACTGAGAGACAGGCGCCTCATAGAGAGAATCTGCCTCCCAACGGACAAGGCCCAGATTGTCGTACGTCCCCTGCTTCTCAGATGATACTTGGGTCCACCGTTGTGCCTCCACTTTCTGAGGCCAACTATGGAGATGCCCCAGCTGGCGACCAGCCTGGGGTACACAGGCTGGCTGCGAGCCCTGGAGAAGTTTCTACCCATTCTCGCATGCAAACTATCATCACAGAAGCAGGCAGTGTGACGAAGAGGAAAAGGTCTGGCTTCGAGATACGTGATGAGCCAGTTGCAGATTTTATCTCGAAGGGCTTGATGACGCCAGACCATGCCATTTCTTGTTTCAACACGTGAGATCCCTTGACAAAAGTTGGTACTTTGTCCCATCCTTGCTAACCAACGATGGTACAGATTCTTCCAAGGCTGCGTATGTGTTGCAGTACTTCCGTATCCTCGTCCTGGCTTGCTGATACGTACGTTGCCACAAACAGGACAGGTATATCCCGGTATTCGACCCCGAGTACGACACCTTCGATTCGGTGCGCTCGCGAAGCAGCATCCTACTCAACGCTATCTGCACGATAGGAAGCCGCATCGAACCCAGTAGCTACCGATATTGCTCTATGCCTTGTGAAGGCGTTTCGCTAACATATGTTAGGGTTCGGTCCTCAGATATCTGATATACTGCACGCAGAGCTCAAGAAATGGATCAATGTCATCATCCAAAACAAGAGGTTGAATTGCTTGGAGTCTGTTCAAGCATTGCTTGTTGTTGCCTGCTATTCTACGGAGCGCTCGTTGATATTATCCTTCGCGACTCGAATGGCCTTAGATCTGGACCTGGACGAAGCGTTCGAGGAGCTGACGCAGCGTATGTCGATGAAAGAAGTTGAGGGCTTACATGGAGCTTCTGGATCTACAGAGGAAGAATGCAGTTTGATGCGAAAGTCCAGAACCTGGTTCGGGCTACTGGTCTTGGAGCATATGTAAGCTGCTCTTGATCGATGTCGGACGAATGGATTTGACAATTATCGTCTAGTTTTCGTGTCGATGGCGGCAAACCGCCGGGCATCCGAGTGCTTGGGAACTCACGTCGGTGTCGAACCTTGCTCAAACATCCTTCATCGACTATTCTGGATTTGCGCCTGTTCTCTCAAGTTGAGGTAGGTAAACAGAAAGGCTGCTGTACTGTGAACTAGCTGACCATTATTACAGCTAAACGCCATTAGAGGTAATCTAACCGATTTGACTTGTGTTCTGAACGATCAGCTGATATCCAGCAGCTAGTATCAACGATACCTTGAGCGGCAAAGAGACTCTTATTCGCTCAGACATTGCTAGGTTCGTGCAAGAGGTCAGGGTTGAACTTGATCTCTGGTTCGAGTTCGTATCCCCTCCTTTCAACCCAACGGTGTGATATACTGACTGGTATCAGTGATTGGTTGCGCATCATCGGTAAGCTCATTGAAGATTACCAAGCTACCTATAATGATAAACGACTCACCCTCCACAGAAGACTCGATCCCCGCCGAAGCGGAAAAGCCGTTCCTCCTGCTCGCACTGCGCGTACAGAAATGCTGGGCCGAGATGATGCTTTACTGCAAGGCGCTGCGATCAATGGGCGTAGAGAACGTTGCGTGCGTTTTTCCGACCTGGATCCCCCCCGCTCGTCAGCTAACATCCGACAGGGCGATGTCTTCCTCCGAGCGAAATATCCTCGTCATGGCCAAGGCCGGCGCCCGCAAACATCTGCGCCTGATCAGCAGCGAGCCGGACTTCTACCTCGCGAAACTGAAATACGCCATGGACTTTGTCTGGGCCAAATGCGCCTTCTGCTTTCTTCTCCTCCTGAAGCTCTCCCGTCTCCTGCCGGAACGAAAAGAAGAACACCAGGAGCTCCTCGAGCACGGGAACCGACTGCTCAGCGAACTGACCAAGAGCGCGGACTCCCACGGCAACACGAACGGCAGTAGCAAGATCTACCTGCAGATTCTCAAGCTCAGCATCGAGAAGTACGGGAGGGCCGTGCAGGACAGCGGGATGGATGTCGACCAGGCGGCCATGGTCCCATTCTGGGAGCTGTTCGATGCGCAGGCGGATTTGCAGTCGTTTGTGCCCGAGCAGTTTGTGACGGAGTGGGATTTCCCAGGCCTGAATCTGTTCTATTTTCCTACCGCGTGGCAGGATTTCTTTGGGGATTTTTCACTGGCAATCTAGTTGATAACTTTGAAAGAGGGTAAGCACGCGGGGAAATCGTTCCGAGTCTCATTATCGTTCGACCATGTACATATAAACAAATACCCAGATATGTATAACGTATGAACATCCTCTATCTGCCTCAAGAAACTTTTCCTTCAATCTCATGTTGAAATGAACGAGACCTGGATATCTAACAGAAAAGGAAAAATGTCAAAACATGACAAGATAGGCATGTCTAACCCAATGCTCTCATGGTGAGCTCGACACTGTAGCGAGTCAGCAGGAAAATCATATCAACGACGTAAGAGGAACGTACACAGCAAAGGTACCCGCAGATACGGGCATAGCTCTCAGGAGAGTCGGCCCCAGGCCCTTCCAGAAGCCGCCAAAGCCCTCCGCGGCAAAGGTCTTCTTGAAACAGTCGGTCATGCTCTTGTATTGCTGCTGCGCACCGAATCCGTCGCACTGCATCTTACTCTTGACCACGTCAAAGGGGTAGCTGCTCAGCCACAGGACCTCACCGGCAAGACCACCGTAAGTCGCGACCTTGATGCTGGAGATCTCCTCGCGCTTGATGTTGTTGCGCTTAGCATCCTGGTTCATCAGGTACTCGAAGGTCAGAAACCAGGTACCGTAGGCCTGGGCTTCTCTGAGATACGTGACGTTCTGGCCCCTGTAGAGACCGCGCAGCACGCCTCCCTGAGAAACGAGTTTCCGGATGCAGTCGAGCGGACCGGTGTACAAGCGGCCCTCGCCGTGAGGTTGCGTCTGCAGGCGGATGCGGACGTGCTCAATGGGGCCCGAGAGGGCGGAGTTGGTGAGACCCGCGAAACTTCCGGCCAGATAGTACTGACCGTAGGAGAGGGTCGGATCGGCATACTTCTTCTTGTTGAGCTCCTCCAGCCGTCTTCTGGCTTCATGGAACGCACCGAATTGTACGCTGACCTGCAGGATATGAGTTCTTCTTGCAAGCAAATGTCAAGGAGTTGAATCTTAGTCTTACACAGGCACCGATACCAACGAGCGGGGTCAAAGTCCCCTTGTAGAAAGCCAGGGGACCCTCATTCTTGAAGATTCTCGTGGCGCAGTCTAGAGCGCTTTTGTACTCTGACGTTGTCTGTAACCGCACCTTGACAATATCTGACAAGTGTTAACCAAGGTTTGACTCTATCTGTGAGTTCTCTGGTTCACCCACCAAAAGGCTGTCCTATAAGCCGTTAGTATCGCAAGCGCGTACAATTGATTAGAAGTGATATCTACATACCAAGAAGCACCTGAGCAATGCCGCCCGCAGCACCAGCAGCCAAATCCTTGAGGGTGCGCAGAGCTCCTCCGCCCTTTTGCATGTCC